ACAAGTTATAAATTCGGGCACCGCCGGGAATCGAACCCGAGACCCCCAGGATTACAAGGCCAGCGTTCTAACCGCTAGACCTCCGTGGCTCTTGGTAACACATTACGAAAAGTAAATAAATACACGACAACCGAGCGTATAGCTAGGGCATCGTGCCTTGTAGTGGGGGCTACAGACCCGGGTACAAGCCCCACAGTCTATCTGAACGCGGCAGCTACGAGAAAAATCACATACCCCCGCCGGAAATTGAACCATGGTCGTCCACCCTGTCATGACACTGACTAAAATACCTCGGTACACGCGTAACAAAGTGCGTCCACTGATAAAGTTGAACGCAGATGCTATTTTCGGGTTCCCGGCTAGAACTACATGATTCACCGCCAAGCTAAAAGGTTTTCCCGATACGATATTCCAACACCATCTACTGGGAAGACACGGCAAACCACGCGGGGTTTACACAGCCGGGATCCTTTCGTCTTTTGTTTACACGCCAGTACAATGTCGGCATTGAATCACACTGCCATAGTGTTGATCCGAGAGTCGTACGATTTGTGTTCCAAATGAACACAAATCCACTGAGTGAGTGGTCTGGCACGAGGTTCAACGTTCTCCAACGTTTTGACAGGAGCAGGGTAGCACCAGGCATGTCTCCCTGTGCTCAAAGTAACATTACTTCTGATACATCTGCTTACTGAGTGTTTTACCTTCACCGATAAATTTTCTTAAGTGCTGACAGCATTTTTCGGTGAATATAGACCAACGGATACAAATGTTTATCGAGGCAGCACGTCCAAATAACACACAGGTTCGAGGTCTGACTCCAACAAAGTTCCTTCTGTCCCTTCACAGCATTTTTTTTTTTTATTAGAGGCCATCAGCTGTGTGTCTGTATTCTCTGACGTGTTCCATTTAGCAAACGTCCGCACCTGAGTATCCATTTATACAACATTGTAATGCTTTCATCTCTAAAAAGACATAAGAAAACACCTCACTTCACCATTACTTCGATCAATTGGTTAACGCCGTTTAAGGAAAAAAATTATAATTACTTAATAATCAATTACCCATTTGAAGCCGAAGCTCGTCTAAATCATATTTAAGAATTCAGTCCGTACCGCGAAGAAAACACAACACTTCACCATTACGAAGATCAACTGGTTAACGCTGTTTAAGGAAATGATCGTAAAAACCAATAAATACACAAAATACAGATTTACTGATTGTTGAAGCAGTTGCGACATACAACTGGCATCGGGATTTAAAGATTTTAAACACGCCACGACCACTTCCTTTCTTCCTACCCGACTCTCAATTCATAATCCTAACATCTAGGCCTATCATCAAATACGATCTGAAATCTTCTTAGACCATCGAATGTGAAGTGAATTTATTTAAAAGTTACATTTAATTGCATAAAAATTGACCTTGAAGAAAAGAAAATGGCGCACTGGATTCATGCTGCTCAAGACGGGAACGATGACATTCCATAAGACAAGAACTGACCGGCTGAGCGACTATCAGCTTCCAAAGAAGATTTCTGTTTCATATTGTTAAATACGGCTAATTTAGGCTTGAGGAACTGATGAACCGTTTCAGACGAAACATAGAACTGAGGAATGTACTGGAATGAGGCGAAGTTGCTGCTTCGCCCCCTCCCCGCCCCGAGACCACAGAAGGCAGGCGGTCACTTAAAAATCGGTTGCCCGGAAATGACCTTGAGGATAACAAAGACACGAAGAGAGAACCAAAGGACGGTTTCCTACTGCATCTAGGGGTAAGACTGCAGCTTTACAACTCTGTCCTTATAGAGAAGCTGATAGTCGCTCAGCTGGGTAAGAGATTCCATGCTACACGCCCAGCCAATCACTGCGTCTTTTACTCCGACAAGGTCCCACCTCAACAACCTGTTCTCGAAACACTACAAATCGTCTTTTGTGTTAAAACAGTTTCACGCCCATACGAAAAAAGTAGCAAAATTACAACAGCCTTGTGAGTCTTATTACGACAGCGTAACTGAAAATTCCTAAGCTCTGCCACATTTTACGTGGATTTCTTTTGAATCTCTTTTGGCCTGTTAATATTTTGGCATGCAGTCTAGTGACGAGAAATGAACATAAATTTTCCTTGCGTCCCGTGTATAACCCTTTAAAACCGGAGCTCGTCGAAATAGCATTTAATAATTCAGTCCTTATTTATTTTATTATTATTTAGTGTTCTGTCTGACGACAGGTCCATATGAACAGGATCCTTCCATCCTTTTCTCGGACTGGAACCTGTTCATATACGTTCTTGGCAGATGATCCAGGAGTGGTTTGCCATTGCCTTCTTCTGTGTGTGAATGGAGTAATTGTTGGGATGCCACGGAGGAAAACTCCGTGTTGCCTAGACCACGGCCTTGCCCAACACAAGTTATAAATTCGAACCCGAGACCCCAGGATTACAAGGCCAGCGTTTTAACCGCTAGACCACCGTGGCTCCCGAAATCAAATTACACAAACATTTTGACCACTACAAGACCAATTAGCAAACGTTCACTACGAAAACAATGGCTGTTCATTGTTAATAATCACTCAAAACACATTACACAAAATAAACAGTTACTCATTATTAAAGGTTAACAAAGGGTTTTAAATGGTTCATTGCACAATACACCACAAGCTCGTACCCACTTAAAGTTCGTTCTGCAAGTCAACACCCATTATTGTACAAGAAATCAGCTTTTATCGTTTTAACTGCGTTTGTAAATAACCTTTGATCTTTTGCTGTTACTTGTCTGCTTCTGTAATACTCAAGGACCAGAGTCCAACAAATACGTAAGCATAACTTATTTTGAGCAACAGAAATTACATTATTACCTGTTATTAGCGTTAATATTTGCACATCTGATGTATTAATAAACACTACACATTGTACTTTACACATTACCTATTTTCTAATAACACAGAGGTTTTTTAAGATTCGGTTTTGAGGCATTCTTTACAAACATTCTACTCATTCCTTCTGACAGACTTATTAATTGACACAACAATTCGAAATTCTTCCCTAATATTTTCAACAAGTAGATGTCGTTCCTAGGTAATATTTATTATTATATTTAAGAAGCCTTTTGTTTACGTCATTAAAAACACGAACAGTAAAAATACGCCATTTTGTTAAAACGCCAAAGATCATTTCAAAGACAAGCACAAAGCTAATTTCGATCCTTGCGATGTTTCACGACTAAAGCCCTTTCTACAAAACACATCCTAAATGAAAAGTTCGCGATGACCTTGACATTACGGCATAACAAATTATCCATTCAAAAAAAAATCTACCTGTTGAAATATCGAAAAGAATACAATTTACAATGCAAGGTTATCAACAATTTAAGTTTAAAAATTGTTAACATTCCAATGATCTTAACGTGTTACGAAATACATAATGCCTCCAAATATTAAAACGACATTTTGTTCTCATTACCCTAAATCATTACAGGACAAACACCGAATTGAAACATTAAGCATTGAATTGAATTGAATTGAATTGAATTGAATTGAAAGAACACGAACGGAATTATGACGGCGTGTCCTTCATAAGACAAACGCTTCAAGTCTCCTTGTAGCGTCATTTAACAAACAACTCCTCCCTCGGTCATCTCATCATCGTTTATATCCTTAATTCATACAGGACCCCAGACGACATCCATAATTCCCCACGATATATTAAACATTCTGATTTAAAAACAGTCAAAATGTAAAAACAAAAATATGTAAATTTATTCCAGTATCAAATCAGGGCTTCACTCGAGTCGCGTTTTGAAAGTCTTGCCTACTGAATTACAAAACGATGCTATTGACGTAAATGTTGATTTTTCCATTACGAAATCTTTCTTATTTATACGTCGAAACGCCTCAGGGCTTGTGAGAGTGGGGTGGGGTGGGGGTTTCCAAACACCAGATACACGCTTTTGTCATTAAGGGCTCTTTAAACACAATGGCGAGAACTTCACAGACCACAAAGGAGGTCAAGGTGTTTTAAAAAAAAAATTAAAAAAAATTGTTGCTGAAGGGGCAATGTTTTTTGTCAGAACGCTAATTTTTTTTATGTTATTATAGTCATATTTTCTGAAAAAGGGGGGGGGGTTCCATATGCATAGATAAATTCACTGTTTCTCTGTTATTAATTTCAGTTTAATTGATTGCAAAACGTTTTAATTCTTGATCCACAAAATATTCAAAAACTTGTCATTACACCATTAGCAAGACCTATAAACAATAAAAAAATAATCTATTAATTGTTTTAAAATCAGTAACAGAAACTGATTTTTTTTTAAAAAAAAAACATTACATCCATATCGTAAAGAACTTATCGACAGTCTTAAAAAGATCAGAACAGAAATCAGCCAAACAAATACGATATTTCGAAATTACTACAATTAAATACAATGACCACGAAAATTCTAATGTAATCGAACTAATATATGCTCAAACCACTAAAGATATTTTCATCACAAATAAACAGGTCCAACAATTCATCTCATTTATCGAAGTGTCAGACGAGGCCAATAATGAAAACAGTCGGTTATGACATTTTTCCATTCTTGACAAATTTTCTCACAAAAATGTTTTCATTTATTCTCACTTTTTATTATAAAAGAAACAAAGGGAATATTGTGCAACTCGAACCTTGATTATTACGTTTAAAAATAATTGTTATTTATAAATGTATCGTAATTGCCCACATACAAACAATAATGTGCCAAAGACTCGACTTGCAACAATAACAATCCAAAATTTAATAAGATTTATTACAGTCAGAAGGAGGTTCAGAAAAGTTTACTCATATTCAAATTAAAGTGTGTTTTGGTTCAAATACTTGAAGCGCTTTCGTGCATATTTTTCTGAAACTGGAAACATAACCAAAAACAATCGCGTTTCTATATAATGAATTACGGTTTGAACTAAACCACCTCAAAGGATCTTGGTAACAACTAAAATTGAAATAAAAATAGCAATACTCACTGGCATTCGTTCATAATTTCCTCCTGGGTTCGAACCTGGACCGGTGCTAATTTCTCCACAGACTCGTCATAGTTGCAGAAACAACGTGTTATCTTGTCGTCGAAAGTGTTGACAAGGTCCTCCAAAGATCCAGAGAAGGTCTCGGTGAAGTTATCGGCTACTGACGAAACTTCTGATCCTCCGCCACCACCACCGCCCCCAACATGAGGGGGATTCCCCACGATATTTTGCTGCTGCAGATTCTGAACTTGTATCGACTTCTGCTCTGGAGATGACAACTGTTGTGCAGTTTGTAACACTGCGTCATTGTCATTCAACTGTTGGCTTAACTGTGGTGGTAACACTACAATTCCATTGTTTGTTGATGTTGACAATAGGCCTCCTAAAGCAGCTTCCTTGTTGAAGTTGTTCGAATTTCTTGCGTCTTGATGAATGAAATTGTCTTCACTCCCTGTTATAGATGTGGATGTCATCTGGTGTTGCTGGAACTCTCCTGGCATTACTCCCCAATCTTCTGTTTCCTCGAACTGTGCCAATGGAGCTTCGAACTTTAGCTCGGCCATCTTGCTAACCATATCCCTCATCGTCTACAACGTCTCTCCACGGCTAGCGCTTCTGCGCCTGCCTGTAACTGAATGGCGAGAAATCGAGTGCAGTCGCTAGCTACCAGCGGAAGGGGGAGGGGAGAACTAGGTCTCGTACTGAGCGAGACGTAATTCTCGTCGAATGCGAGAAACTGCTTTCGTCTTGTCGTCTGCTTGAGTAGGCCTTCCTGTCAAGGTGTTCTCAAATCGTTAACCATCGAGGAAACCAATCATCGTTTCACACCTGGAAAGAACGAAACGCTTTCTTAAAATAATTTTCATCAAATAGGCAAACAAAACCAAAATGTTAAATATACAAATGCACAGAAATTACAAGCCTGAAGCAAGCATAGAATGAAATCGTCGAAGTTTTCATTTCAATTCGAGACAATTATCGCAAACTGCTGTTTTTACTATTTTGTGTAACGACACGTTTATCTCCACGTGTCGAGGAAAATAATGCACCTTTTCATGGCGAGGTAAAGGCAGGGACAAGTTAACTTTTCCGCAACAAAAAATTGCTGTTTACTAAAATTTCAGAAAAATTTGGTAATAATGTTAATCAGTCTTAAACCACAGATACAGAAGAGTCAGATATTTGAATTCATGTGAAATCTTCAGACATAGATATCCCGACACATTTTATCGGATTCTGAAGAACTCGAGAAAAAAACTCCTTCTATTGTCTGTTACTTCAGGATGCTGAGGGGAAATCATCTTCTTCTCTCGGTACTGCAGCCCTCGTCAGTCGGCCCGATTGATTTTTAGCCAGATGTGGCGCGTAGGAATCCAAGGAGTGAAAGCCCCTCATTGCACCTTACACCGTCTCTCTTATCAAGAAGGTAACTTTACCGTGAAAAATTTCAGTAACGCGAAAAGCGACCCACATGTCAAGGCTACCAACTTAACAAGCGCAAAGATCTGTTGAACGGCACATTTTTTAGAGCGGTGTGCAACTGGCAGCTCACGCAGTTACCTACTACCCATCTTCCAACGCTAAATCACATACACAGTTGATTTAACGTTGTCAAAATACGTGAATAATCTTAAATAACGATGGATCTGAGTTCCATTCTTTAGATTCAATCTCCGTATTCTTCATTCTACCAGAAACCACTAAAAAAAAATAGTTAAGAATTTCTAAACGGAAAATTAGGAAATTTGAGAAAGAAAGTTAAGACTGGAGAATATTACATAATTAGTAACTTCATCATTAGCACACCTCAAAGTATTACGTCGACCAAAAGAGGGGGAAATTCTATGGAAAACCTGAAAGAGTAAAAAATGGAAGGATAATATTAAAATGGAACTTAAACAGACTGAAACGGCGTGTAATATATCCCTCTTGCACGGAAAAGCCTCCAATGGCGGGCTCTTATAATGCTCTGGAGACTTTCAGTTACAGCTGATATAAACATAGACCATAAGTGGGTCCTGTAATCAATCATCTTCTGCTGAAAGCGAGATATTTATAAGGCCACGAGATCCGTATTTCACAACCGTGAAGTCCAAATATAGAACTGTTCAGCTGTTTCTGTATTCCTCACATTAAACATGGGCTGTGCGCGTATTCATTTTCTGTCGATCCTACTGCTGTTAGGAGCGCATGAAATTTATATTTGTTTACGCAGTGCGATGTTCCATATGCCGATGTACATCCAGCGCAGACTAAAAATCCGCAAATCCATCAACCCTTCGAAAACGAAGTTCGCTTAAAGATTCAGTCCGTACCGCGAAGAAAACACAACACTTCACCATTACATAGATCAACTGGTTAACGCTGTTTAAATAAATAATCGCTGTTTACACTCCGTGGGATAAATGCAGACTTATTGATTGTTAATCTTAGTGGTACATATAGTTACCACTGTGATTTAAAGAGTTAATCGAGAAACGCACAAGCGGACAGCTGACCTATTGACGGCCAGTGTCTTGGAACTCTTGATTGAACTTCCAGAGAAATGACGTCGCCATAAATGGTCTTACGTAATTTCCGTCTCGGATTGACGTAGTACGTATCACCGGAGGTAACTTCATTTATAGCTGGTTTCGTTTACAGCTCAGTGCCAAAAGGAAATGAACACGTGAGAAAATGTCACATCCAGCAGACATCTCCGGGCTTACGAAGGCTAAAATGACGACAGACTTGGTCAATGTAGCAGCTCACCTATTATACTCGTACGTAGCATCGTTAATAGCGCAGTCTGGGCATGCGACTAGACTAGGATTGATACAAAAAATGCATGAGAAACTTTTATGACAAAACCTCACAGAAAACGTGCGCTTTGAACATTGACACAGAGATGATAAGACAATATTAAAAAGAATAAACTTAAAACGGACGTGGAACGAAGTGGAATTGACCTATTTTAAGTTAACCTACCAATATATTCCTGTAGAACTCATGGAAAATACGAAAAATTACAACAATTTACAGTCCAGTCTTAAAAAGTCTTTCGAGAGACGCTGATCGTAGCTTATCTGGTAAAAAATGCAATACCTTTTTACAAAACCAGTCCTGAAGATGGAGGCAGTATGTTCCTCTCAAACGCAGGTATCCACATGGTGGGTGGTACACACCAATATCGACTTCACCGCCGTCAGAACCTTAAATCTCACCTATTTTTGTCTGAGTCAAAGAAATCTCTCCACATATAAACGTTGTAGTGATATCTAGCGGAAGATCCGCATAACTAAGCAAAGTTTTTCATGTCAATAGATGGCGCCACAGTGTCTGCTGCAGAATCGATATATCGACCGTACCAAACTCCACTACCATCTCTTGAGCAATGAACAGACCACACAGATTATAACCAACATCCCTACTTCTGCAATATCCGAGTTAACCACCGTTTCGAAAGAACCTACAGACGACGTTTCAGAGGTGCTTGCCGCCACCATCATCAGGACTAAATTTCTTACATATTACACGGCCTGACCCTCGCTGCAATAAACCTGAAATCTCACTTTATCAGATGACGTTCTCATAATATCCCCTGGATACAGGCCACCCGAACATCTGTTAAGGGACTACATACTTTTTGCTGAACATGTACATTGATCAGCTTTTATAGGAGTCGGAGTAGTCTTAGTCTGGGGAGAAAATTGTTTGGCGAGGCATTTAGTTCACTGCGGACGCCACATCGAAGAGCCACGCTTTCATGAATATTTAATAACGTTAAGACACCATGCAGTCCGCCGCCTAGTAGGTAGACCTGCCGCAGCGCAAACTGTACTGCATACAGCCTACGCGAGGCGCCACAGAAGTCTCGTTTCCTCTTTCTAAAGATAGCTGGAGAAGTCTTTGAACCCTCTGAAACCCAGTGGTAATTATATGTACCACCTGCTTTAAGAATCAATAACTGCATTTTACCCACAGAGTGTAGGCCCACTAATGAGTTTCGTAAGATTCTAATTATAAACAACAATTATTTCCTTAAGCAGCTAATCTTTGTAATGGTGAAATGTGTTTTCTTTGCGGTACGGAATTATTTATTAAATATTATTCAGATAAGTTTCGGGTTAAAAAGGTTAACAATCAGTATTTTTTTTTAAAAAATCTTTAAAAATTGTTAAATCGTCCGAAGAACGTAATTAAAGACAACCAAATTCGCAGTGCAGCTGTGAAAATTAAAAACCCTGCAGAGATACGCAACCTTCACATCACAGCTGCACGACGTATTGCGGCAATGCAATGTAACTCAATTCCAGCTGACACAAAACTTGGCCCCCGTTTTACGTTAAAGTTTATGGCACAGTCGGGGTTGAATACGAAACAGCAGGGGCGTAATCCCTCTGTACATGTTCAGGGCACAGTTCCAAATGGAAAGGATAAATTCTAGCTTGTTTCTGCAGTACTCAGGCAAAACGCATTGCAAATGTTTGAAGACGACAGCGTTCTGA